TCCGAGCGGGTCCCGACACCTCCGTCGGTGCAGGCCGCGGCCCTTCTCCTGCCCGGCTGCAGCCAAGCGGGAGCGCGAAGGCCGGGCTGGGCCGGCCTCACGTTGGAGCACGGCCGCGGCCGGCGCTGCCCCCTCCTCCTCTGTCCCCATCTGCGCTATGCTCCCGGGAAGGAACCAGCTCCAATGTCTGGGACTTTTTTCCCCTCATTTCCCACAGGGATTTCCTGCCTGTTGCCCCCCCTCCGTCCTTTCACACCTCGGATGAGGCTCTGGCTTGCTCCCTGCTCTGGGCGCCCTCCCCTCCATCTCGGCACTACGGAGCCCCGATGAAGCGGGGACCAGAGCGGAGCCGGGCGCCGCTCCGAGCCCTGGTCCCGAGCAATTCCCGGCAGGAGGGAGCAGCTCCGTCCGGCTTCGCCTCCCCGCTGGCAGCACGGATGCCCATGGGGGTTATTTTTCAATTCTGGCCCTGCACAGAACGGAGCAAACACCCTTATCGAGGAGAGCTGCCTTCACCTCAGCTTCCCTCTCCCGTCGGAGCCGAAATCCCAGCAGTCCCTGCTTGCTGCACGGGGCCGATAAGCTCCGCACACAGGGAGAGGCAGCGACCTGCGCCCTGTTTTCCCACAGGAGAGAGTCAATATTTAAACACGGGTTTGTTTCCTTGCTAGATAGTGAAGGGACGGAGCCCTGGCCGGGGGTCGGAGCTGCCTGGCTCCATCCCACACCGCTCTCCCAGCTGAACCAACCCCAATTCCAGCCTGGATGCCCCTATTGCGGGCACGGAGCCCTGTCCCCATCAGCTGTGAGCACCGGGCAGGGCACCCGCTAACGAGGCCCCAGCACCCGCTGGCTGCAATTTAAGAGCAGGTAGAAGCCCAGGCAGAGCTTGGGTTGGTTCCTGATGTAGATGTGGTCCCCAGGGCAGGTCCTCCTTGAGGTGAGGAATGAGAAGAGCCTAGGCTAGAAAGCAGGGCAAGGTAAGAAAATGTTTCACTGTCCTGCTGGTAGCAACCTGATTTGGGCTAACACTGAGGTTGTGCATTCCCCTGTGCTTTTTAATCTGTCTTTGAAACCCAGTTTAGTTATGTTGAAATTGACCAAAAGTTGCATTTGGGGCAGATTTAGGTGAAATGGTTAAAGGAAAAGCAACAGTGTCTTTTGCTACAGTGGCTGCTGCCAGGCCACACCAGGAGGCTAAGAAGTTTGTGAGCAGCAGAAAGTCCTCCTAATTTTGAGGATTTAAGTATGATTCTCCAGGAGCAGGTGCTGTGAGACACTGTTGGCTACTGAGAGGCAAGAAACTGGCTCATGACATGAAAAAGCAAGTGCCCTGTGTTGGGCTAGGACAGGGCCTGTGCCTGGGAGCTGTGTCCCCTGCCCCACCACCACCACGTGCGACCCCTTTTCCAGATGGCTTCCCCCCGGACAGCTCTGTTGAGTGCTGTTTTCACAAACATATAAAATACCTATATGTTTTTTCCACTTTTCACTGCTTTTTTTGCTGCCTTTAAGGGTGAAATTGGTGTTAGTGGAGTTTCAAGCAGCCACATCCCCGCTCAGCCCAGGGGCACCCCGTGCCGCTTGCTCAGCCAGAACCCATGCTGCAAATCCCAGGCTGGGCTGCACAGGAGCTGCAGGCATCCTGGTTTGCAACAGGCATTTTAGCTCCCGCCCTTTGGGCAGGAAATGGGATGCTGCTTAATCCAACATCATCCCTGAGCGAGGAAAACCGTTATCCAGTACAAATAAGTATCTGTAAAAAGGAAACACCTAAGAGAAGTTTTTATAGCTGTATTTCAGAGCACAGTTAAATCCTCTTAGAAATCATCTCTTGTGTTACAGAATAGGACCATGCATTATTTTACTTATGGGACTGAAACGTAAGCTCTACCGGGGGCTGAGGGGGGAGGAAGGAGGGGACTGAGCGCACGGTGCGGAGGGGAGCTGGGCTTGGGACTGCTGCTCCAGCACACGCGGCCCCGTCGGCGTCCCCGGACCTCGGCCTGGAGATGCAGATCGAGCCCATCCATGGGAAAGCCCCTGTGCAACAGCAGGTCCCCGAAGCCATGAGATGTGACCCCAGCTACCTCTCAAATCCCTGCAGGTATCAAGAAGTCACCCAGGGAGCAGGAGAGAGAGATCTGGGCAATACCCTGGGGTTCCAGAGCCAGGACATCAGTGTGTGTTAGCAGCACGCGGGAACTCGGTCCCCAAAAGATCCTCCTGAGTCCTGTGACAGAAGTGCAGCACATGCAGAACCGGATGCAAAAGACTGCTTCGTAGAGCAAGAGGGGAGCTGGAACGGGGGAAGTCTGCCTGGCTGCAGTAACAGCACAGGCTGGTGCAAAGAGCGTTGTCTGGGGGAGCTGAGGATAAATCCTGCCCTGCTGCTGCGGGAGGGCTCTGTTCTGCAAAGGCCCAACCACGTCTGAGCATCTTCAAGTCCTTGGTGTGTGAAGAGCCCCTAATCCCGATGCCTCTCAAGTCTGTGGCCAGCTACAGGTTTATTCCTTCATTTCAGACAGTAACAGAGCTCGTGTCCATACTGCAAGGTGAGTCCTCTTGCTTCCTAGCATTCCGCAGGGAGAGACCCTGCACAATATTGCACAGCCCCTTGTCCATCGGCAGCCCCTTGTCCATCGGCCTCCCCTTGGGCCCTGCTCGCCTGGGTTGCCCCTAGCAGGACCGAGCACTGCTGGTCATCTCCAATACAGCTGATCCTGCTGATCCAGGCTATGGCCAAAGGCTGTCCCGGAGCAGTCAGTGTGCAGTGCACATCCCTTCGAGTGCTGCCTTCACCTTCCAAGTCCCAACACTATCTATCAACAAAATCTATCTTCCCTTCGAGTGCTGCCTTCACCTTCCATGTCCCAACACTATCCCGGAGACAAAAATCTATCCGCCTCTTTAGGATGCCGTTTCCATTACCTGTTCCGTTATCACTTTCTTTCCGTGCCTGGATGAGGTGGTGTGTTTCCCCAGTCCTCAGGTACTCACAAAACCTTTAGATATGGATCCCAGGGTTGCTCTCACCGGAATGAGCTCCCAGTCACACAAATGTGTACCCATAAGGGATATGATGGGAGATGTATTAGTGCGGCTTTCCCAGCAAAACAACATTGGATCTTTTGCCTCTTCTCAGCGTGGGCAGAATGGGCAGAACAAAGCAGTCTTTTTGTCCCTGCACTGGGTCTCAGCAAATGCTTCGGGGCTGATTTGTTTTGTACCTGGGCATTTTCCACTTCAAAAACAGGCTGCTCCGGTATCTCCAGCAGCCTGAACCAAAGGGCCAACTACCTTCTCCTACGCATCACGGCCACGTTGGCTGCGAGGAAGGGGTTTTGGCCCTGCTGGAGTCTGAAACCAGCTTGCTGCAGGCTGGTTTCTCCTGGCCTGGCTCGAGAGGAGGCGGCTTGTTCTGGCACTGTGGACTTGGGACTGGAAAGGAACAATATGTAGATATCAAAACAAGCTTGGAGTTTCTTGAGGAGCCCAAGTTCCTTGCTCCTCCCCGTGAGCCGGGGAGTTAATCGATGGGGAAGCAGGATGTGGGCGCCCTGCGGAAGAGCAGGCTGGAGCCGCGGAACAGCTGGCCCTGAGGAAGAGGAGCAGGCGGGTTAGTTAAGGCAGCCCAAGCAGTCCCCGTCCCCTGCACCAGGGCCACCAAGGGCAGTGCTGCCAGGGGTGGCCCTGCGCTCCCTCACCTGGTCCCTGAGGTGCCTCCAGCAGTGGATCCAGGATGTGAAGGCGGGAGCGTAGGGCGGGAGGCCGGCGCGCAACCTGCACGGAAAGACACAGAGCTGAGACGGCGGCCGCGTCTTATCCAGGCCAAGAGGTAACCCAAGAGCAAGAAGTGTACGTGGGGACATAGAAACAGTGTCTGTGCTGGGCCGGAGGCCAAACGCCTGCTTTGTTATGTAAACTGCAACAGATCCTGTAACCGAATTGCCCCCGAGCGCACAAACAAGTAGCGCTACCTGGACGCGCTGAGTCCAGCGCTACGCGCTGCGTCTGCGCCTCGAGGACGAGCATCAGGGCAACACAACACCGAGGGGCTGCCCGTGAACACGGACACCAGCAGCAACAGGAGCGGGATTGGGAAAACAAGCTGGGCCAAGGGAGGCGTCCCTGCCTCGCTCAGCTCCCTCCCAGCTCTCTTGCAGGTGCATTAGGAGCTCTGCTTTCCCTTGTGCTGCTCCCAAGTCACTAAATCCTTCTGATCCCTTCTGCCTCTGGTCTAGCTGAGCCCAGACGGTGCCACCACAACTCTGCCTATTCCTTTTCACTTGGGCCTTTATCCTGCCCCTGTCTGCACTCTCTGATCTAAAATTATAAACAACCTGGGACAGGAAGCGAGCTGGCTCTGCAAGGCACTGTATGGTTTATGGTTTGTGTGAAAGCTTTACAATCATTAGCAAAGGATTTGGACAACAAGGGGGTGGAAGAGAGGCACAAAACGTTAGATCCCCCCGTGACCAACGTACCCGCAGTTGTTCACTGCCATGAGATCTCCCACGAGAAGGAAGGGGTACGTCAGCATGCTCACCGCGATCTGCAGGCAAAGAAACCCGGTAGCGTCTCTCCACTGTCCATCGTGCCGAAGCGCTCGTTACTGCTGTTCTAGCTTTTGCATGTTAGCAAAGTTATCCCGAGCTTTGGATGAAAAGCCCAGGCTTCAAATGCTACAGCCTCCTCCCCAGACTGTCACCGCAGCTGGGCAGGAAGAGGTGGAAAGGACGCTGCCTACGTACCCCCATCACGAACTTGGTGTAGCTCCGGATCACCGACGCCTGGCTGAACTGGAAAGAGAGAAACCAAAGGGCTTGTGGAGGAGGTGGCCGTGAGCAGAGCGCCACGGCCACCGTGCGACACCCCTCCGAGCCCAGGATGAGCAGCCTGGGGCAGAGCAGCAACGTGGAGGCCCCAGGGCCGGGGGTCAGCCCAGCCCCTGCTTCCCATCAGGGCCCTGCAGCAGGGAGTAACTCACGTTATCGTCCACCGCGTACGTGTTGATGAAGTGAGCCAAGAGGTTGCAGCACCACAGGAAGATGACGTCCCCCAGGATGTGAGGGACTAGGCCGCTAAAACGGTAAAAGAGGAGGAATAAAAAAAGACATGAGGTTCAGAAAGGTCCCAAGCCGCTGCCTCTGCTTTCAGCTCTTACTGATGAGGGTCAGCGCTCTGGGCAGCACCATCTCCTTGCGCTGCTGCTTCCAGGGGTCTTAATCTGGGATGAAACATGTCAAAGAGCTTCCCTGGCATCAAGTAAGTCCAAGATGTTTGTTCCCATCTGCATTTGCTGTGTGCTTTGACCCAGCCTGATGGTTTCACCTGTCTTAGCTAAACTGCCTGTTGCCGAGGCCTGAGCAGGTCTGGAGACCCAGGCAAGAATTTTGGGGCTAAGAACAGAAGATTTTAATGATAAATCATTAAAAGCTCAAAAGCCAGAGCAGCAGATGAGGAATCCTGCAGGATGCAGTGACCCAACCCAACTACTTCTACAACCCAGCAAGAGAAATGCCAATACTGGAGGACTGGAACAAGCCCTTTCCAAGCAGTGTGGGACAGTTTCAGTGTCTGTTCGAGCCCTGCAATCACCTTTCTCTCCTGCTGGCAGCCAGGAGGCTGCTGTAGATATGAGGGGAACTGAGATAAGCCCATCAGGGAACAAAACTCCAAAGCATTTCAGGGGAGGGATTTATCTCTAGCCACGCGTGCATCCAGCGTGAGCGTGTGCTGCTGATAATGCTGTGCATGGATCATAAGGACGGGAGAAATAAGGGACCCTCAGTGATTTTTCAGGGAGTGGATATGTTTGGATTGCACTGGAAGGGCTGAGAGCAGAAAGGGCGCAGTTTGGTCCTACAGACATAGTCCCTCCAGGGCCATGGGATTTCCTAGCAGAGTCATAGAGCATGTGTAACTTCAGAGGCCCCCTGAGACATTTTGGGCTGTGTTAAAGCCTTTCCTGTGAACTATTAAGTTTAATTAGGCTACCAAGGGTGTTTATTTTATGTGGGGGAAGGGAACGCAGCTGGCTTTTCACGTGCGTTTTCCCAGCACGGTGCCCAGATGGAGGAGAGGGGAGTGTGAGGGGCAACGTGCTCCATGGGCAGCAACCAGGGGAACAGCCACCCCAGGACACGGGAGAGGAGGGATTTGTGTTTAATGGAGGGGATTTGGGCTGCAGGGCCTGGAGCTCAGCCCTGGAAGGAAGGAAGATCTGGTGCCACCTGGCCAAGGAGGTCTCCATGACCTCTGGACTTTATCCCCAAAGAAAGAGGGTGCAAGGCCCCCTGTGACTGTTTTCCTCTTCCCAGCGTAGTCACACTTCATGTGAAGGCCCAGATTTCCCATTTCGGATTCCGGAGCAAAATGCATCTGGCCCAAAAGCTCTTCCTGGAATTTGGGAGCTAGCTCTAGTATTATTGGTGTAATAAAATGAGTTACCCACCTGCTGGGAGCAGAGGCAGCAGGTGCCTTCATTTTTTAACAAAACTTGAAAAAAAAGCAAGAAGTGCTAATGAAGGCTTGAAGTAAAAATGTATCTGCCAGACTCCAGCTTTAGCAATGCCACTAATTTGCCTTGCTTTGTACCTGGGCAGAAGCCCCTTTGAGCTCTGCACAGGTTCAGACACACACTAGGTGCTCCTGACCCATGGACGAAGCTGCTGCCAGCATGAACCACCTGCTAATTACAGGTGCTAATTACAAGGTGCTCTAAAGAGGAATGTGTTTCCTATCTGGGCTGTGGCTTTAATTTCAACAAGGGACCTCATTGCACTTGCTCTTAGTGCCCAGTGTACAAACAAGTGCTTGAAATGCCCTACACTGAAACACAGAGAAGCACCAAGGAAAAAAAGTAGGAAAAAAATAAAGGGGTTTCCCCAGGCTCTACTGAAGATATGATCTGGTTCTTCCCTCGGGCCAAGCCCGATAGAGCTGGAGCTCTCCCAAAGGCACAGATTTAATCTCTGCTTATCAGAGCAATGTGAGTGTCCCAGGAACAAGACTGCACACAAAAGGGAACCGAATGTAACCTCTTGGTGTTTGCAGAGCAACTGGGAGAGCCACCAGCACCTGCTGACCCCAGGAGCAGGTATTTAAGCAAGAACTCACGTACACGAAGAATCCCAGGATCCCTTCTTCCTTCAATATCCTGCCGATGGCGCTGAACACGCCGCTGTGGAAAGAGCAGCAGCGCTGTGAGCGGCGTTGTGGCCCAGCCCTGCACAAGCAGCCCCAGCAGCAGCCCCAGCCCACGCTGTCCCCCCACACGGGCGCGCTTTTTTTCCCCCCCGCCCCCCTGCAGCAACCCCTGCGCTGCTGCTCGACCTGCAGCAACCCCTGCGCTGCTGCGCGACCTGCAGCAGCCCCTGCGCTGCTGCGCGACCTGCAGCTGAGGGTAGAAGAGGCTGCAGAGGAAGGTGCCACGAGTGCGGCACGTCGGCTGCTCCGCCACGGCCGATCCAGCATGCCAGGGCGCAGACAGACCCCAGCCTTCCCACCTTCTTCACTGTGCAGTCACCCACTCTCTAGCCATGGCTCAGATCTGCTTCTTGGTCTCCCAAACTTCCTGGGTCACTGTATCCTCACCGCCCAGGAGCCTCCAGCCTGCCCCATTCCAGCTTTTGTGCACCCAAAACCCTCGAGCTGCCCCTATTCACCTGTATTTGACTTCCCGGCCTACGAACTGGACCATGCAGCGCATAGAGATCACTAGGAAGAAAGAAACACAGCATTAACAACCCAAAAGTGACCAAACTTCATTAGTCTGACGGATGTGAAGGAAAATCCAAGCTTCCCTCAACTCACTTCCAGCTGTTCTCAGTTCTCCTACACATCTCAAAATTTGTTAGATGGAGTCTCTCTCCCCTGATCTGGAAGTGGAGGGAGGATTTGCGGGCCCCAGCCCCAGCAGGATCTCTAGGATGAGCTCTCAGAGATTGCTGCGATGCTCGTTTGGGTTATTCCCAACAGCCACACTGACCATTAGGATCTCCAAGTGACCACTCTGGATCTGCATCCATTCTGCAGGTTCAAATGGAGCCATTTTCCACAGGGAGGGAGAAAAAATGCATCAAGTAAAGAGGGTTTGGAGGCCGTGTGCTGCCTGGACCAGGGCTCCTTGGTCTGGAGCAGGGCAGGACTCACCGTGCAGGGGATGCGAGACGACCCGGGACGCGCACTGCATCATCATCTCATGAGAGGTCTGTGAAGGGCAGGAAAAATCACGCTCTAAGAAACGGTTCCATCCGCACAGCTCAATCCCATTCCCTTTATGCAGGGAAACCTGTCCCAGGCCTCTTTTGAAATCTGCTGCTAGGGGTAAACCTCCCACTACTATTTCTATGAAATATTTTACAGCTGATCCCAAAGTGGCTACTAAGTGCCAGGGTCTGAAACCCTCAGAGTTTCTTTCCAATAATTTCACACCCACAACTTGCTGTTTTATCTTCTCCTGATCTCTAGGTCCTCAGCATGAACTCTCCCCACCGCTCGTTAATGAGCAATATTAACAAATGACATTTTCCAACCCGTGCCCAGCTGTGGGCCACCGCTCACCTCTTTCACCACTTTCCTAAGGGAAGTCTTCATGTCATCCTTGTTGGAAACGTGCTCCATGTCCTCCAGTGGAAAGGCCTGAGCAGGGAAAGAACCATAAGAACAAAACTGACAGGTGCTGAACCACAAACTCCTGGGATCTGAGAACAGGAGGAAATGGTGAGATGGGACTTGAGACTGCTTACAAAGGACAAAAGGCAAGTCTGGGGCACACGGGCATCATTCTGCTGTCCTGGGGAGCTACTCAGAGCTGTTAGTGGTGGAGAGAAGCGGAGCTTTCCCCTCTCCCCTGCAGCCGTGGCTGGCAGCGAGCGCGGGCAGGCTCCCTGGATGGGCTGCAGCAGCAGGGGCCGATCCGCAGGCTGATTTATGGAGAGAGAAGCCGACCTTTACCTTCTTCACGCTCCCCCGGGTGATGGTGGATAAAGTGCTGGAGACGAGCCGAGGAGTAAGACCACGGAACAGGCCTTTTTTCCCATCCACTTCCACAATGTGTCTGGCTGGGTAAGAAAACACCAGGCTGTCGTCAGGCCGGAATCGGCGCGTGGCCGAAGCCGCACCGGGGCTCGGCACGGTGCCGTAGCTGCCCGCGGGCTCCCCATGACTGGTTTATTAGAGAAGCTCTATTTCAGGTAAGATACAGTAAGTAATCCATCATATCTGTCTAAACTGGGAGGGTGACTCCAGATCTGGGGGCTAATTCTAGTCTTGTGATTATGTTCTGCCTACCTGAAAGGGCTATGAGGTGCTTTGACCTCCACTAAGGCAGGGAGGGATAATGTCCCGCTTGTTGCTGCCCGTTCTGGGATCAGGATTATACAGTCCCCTTCCCCAAACCTTCTGTGAAAGAGGGAAAGATCCCCAGGGCCACACAGTGTTCACCCACCTCTCCCATGCTGCCCCACCCACAGAGAGAGAAAATACATTTTTTTCCCCTTCTAAATATATTACCTTCCCTTTTTCTTGGTATTTCTGTCCCTTTAGGGCTCCATCTACAATACAAATGAGCAGGGCAGACAGCCGAGTTATTGCAGGACTGTTTTGTAGCGAGAAAAGGATTGTGATCATCTCTTACACGTGTAAAAACCCTCCACCAACAGACCTACACGGCACAAACTCCTGCTCTGTCCTCAGAGCACTGTCAAACGGAGCCCAGAGCTGGTTCACCCTCGGCACGAGCCCCCTCCCGTTACAGTCTCTGCCCCCGGGAACGGGCTGCTCCCCAGACCTCAGCCCGAGGCAGGAATGTGCTTCCCATGGGGCAGCAACACGAGGGAGCGTCTGACCCTCGGACAGCAGCTCCTTGGTGCCAGGAGATGTGTGGAGGTTCGAGGGTTCTGCAGAGAGAAGGGCCAGCACCCAGGCCAGCACCTTCTTTTTCCCCTCTTTGCACCAAGAGACACATTAGTGATGGCTTTTCAATTCCCTGTAGCATTTCATGTCTCCTCTGGACTTCAGCGACGTCGCTGGCACGCAGATGCAGGAGAGCTGCTGAAATTTGGCTCACACCGGCCTGTGCTGGGTCCAAACCGCCCTGGATCTCCCTGGCCTCCGGGCACGCAGCTGCCGGCCCCGCGTCCCCGCGTCCCCGCGGCGCGGCGCCGCGCGGGCGGGCGGCA